AAGGTACAAAGTATCACGTTGGCTCGTTTGTAACATACGAAACATATATGAATTGATCAACAAAGTGGCGTAAATTCTAATTCCAAATTTGGAAAGAACCCTGACTGCATTAAGTTCGGTTTATCAAGTAAAGTAGAAATTATAATAAAATTTGACTTAATGAAATAATTTTTATTAAATATGATTTAGCTAGCCAATTTTGCATTGTTATAAAGTGAAAATCAGTTTATGGTAGTTCAGTTTATTGAGATCTGACTGTATATGCAAATTACATATATCAAAATATAATAATCAATATAATGATTAACAAAGGTGACATACCAATCTTTTCAATTTATTAGATAATCATTGAGTTTACATTCTTTTGTATTATACCAACTGGAATATTCTTTTTTTTTCAATTGCATCAATGATAATTTCTTCACATTCACTGACAAGAAAAAATTATTAATAAAAATAGCAAATAATTGTTATTTAAATATTAACTTTTTACTGTCAATAGCAAGTTGGTTTTCTTCAAGAAGTTGATTATATTTTTCTTCAACTGCCCTTTTTTCTCTCCCCATTTCCTCAAATGTAGTTTTTGAAGTGAATATTGTGCCATTGAAATTTTAACTTGACATAATTGAATCTATTCATTCAGGCTCAAATATGAAATATTATTAAAGGGTATATATACACACATGTATATGTGATTATAAATGAATGTGTTAGTAACAATGACCTTTCTTAGAATTGCTTCTCTTTCTCTGAAATGTGCAACATCTCTTTCTAAGATTGCATTTCTTTTTTCCAAATTATTGAGTTCATCTTTATCTGTATTTGATTCCTATAAAATGTATACAATATATATATCAGTTAATCAAATAACATTAGATTGAGAAAATGAAAGAATGAATATGGAAAAAAGATCAGAATTACTGATAACAAATTCTTTTGTTCACTAAGTTTAATCAATGATCTATGACATCCTAATAATTCTTTTTCTCCAGTCGCCTCTTGAGTTAGAATTAATAATTCTGGTGGAGACATCTAAAATTTAAATATATTAAATCAATACTTAGATCACTTTTCTGCAATTGTTATAATGATGACAATATTATAATTATTATAATTATTATCCACTATTGCTATTGTTATTTACATGTGCAAACTTGCTAATATTATTTAAAAATATTCTATATTCTGAGAATTTTCTCACCAAAGATTGTCAACTTGTATATTAAATGATTCAACTATACTCTGAATATTTTCAAGTGTAGTTTTTTCACCTAAATAGATATTTATATAATAATTATAATATTGATGAAGTATCAAATCAACAACAACACATATATTGGGTTGGATGGAAAGGTCTGGGACATTTTACTGACACCCACTTTACCAACAAGACACTTTACTGACAACACACGGGGTTACATTTAATCTCTACACAATCAAACAAACTAACAAAATGCTAAAATATCATGTTGTGTGTTGTCAGTGAAGTGTCTTGTTGGTAAAGTGGGTGTCAGTAAAATGTCTGGGTCCAGGATGGAAAAATTTACCATTTAATGTCCATTGAGTTCCATTATCAGCTCTTGTGATCAAACAAATTATTATCACATTATCATCATCATGTTTTAATTCAATCTTTATAGATGCATGATTTTGTCCATCTTTTATAAAATCAGAAATATTTCTCATATCCTTGAGAAACTTTGTTTTTTAATGAGGTGTGGAAAGGGGAATAAACCAGTGTTGGGAATTTCTGGTTCCAGTGGGAAAATCACTGGAACTGGAATACTGGAACACTGAAACACTGGAACAGTTTGGAAACATCACTGGAACACTGGAACTGCTGGAACCACACTAAGGTTTCTGGTCCAACTGTTTTCTCAAAGCCCAAACTAGTTTAGGCAATTTGGGCTTCTCAACATTTTTTATAAGAATGAACATTAAAAAACTATATGAATCAACTTGTTTTAACTTAAACAACTTTAAAATAATTTTGCCCAATTTTGGCTAATAACAAAAAGTAGTTTGGGCTTATAAAAAAATAATTTTTGCCCAAAGTATTTGGGCAATTTCGGCTACCAATAGAAACAGTTTTGGTCAGAAACCTTAAACCACACTGGAACCGCTGGAACCAATGAAGAATCTGTGTAAACTTTATTTTTAATACCTATATTTACATGTAATAATGAAATAAATATGGTAATATCACTGCCACTATATTAATATAGTTCTTTTTCTTTTGGGTCAGACTTTATGAATGATGTCAATTTTTCACAATAATTATCTTTTTTTGTACATGGCTCCCACGTGATGAGATCATATGACCATTTTGTAGATGTTCACCTTGTGACTTTGCTTACAAGTTCCACAGGTGGAAAACTTTTGGATGCTTTGCAAATATGTTGTAACAAAAGAGAGATAGTGGTAAAAAGTAATTGTTTAGCTATCTGCAAAGCCTGCATACAAATAAAAGAGTGGAAGTGGTCTTAAATAATGTTACACAATTAAAATTTTCTAATACTGTTCCATCTATTGGTAAACACACTTAATTGTGAAAACTTTGCAAACTATTAATCCAGATAAAGTGGAATCAGTAAATTCACATTTAGAAGTGAGACAAAAAAGAATTGAATCAAGATTAAATAATAGTATAGAAATTGAAGTTGATGTTGATGTTGATTGTATGGGATCTGGGTCACTTTACCAACACCCATTTTACTGACAAGACACTTTACATTTAATCTCCACAACTAATAAAATGCTAAAATATCACGTCACGTGTTGTTAATAAAGTGTCTTATTGGTAAGTGGGTGTCAGTAAAGTGTCTGGGTCCCGATTATATGTATTTTATATTATCATGGGATTAATTGCAACAATTAATAATATTTTATTATGTTTGTTTATGATCTTACAACAGAATTGAACAATAATTATGATAATTCATCTATTACATCTCCTCCATCTGAAAGTTCTAATTCATTGATATTTCACATATAAATCCAAATATACAGTATATAATGAATCAAGGTCTTCCATCAGCTCATCATTAAACAATGGAATTGAAAGTTATTGGTTTGAAGCACTGTATGATGAGACTTTTAATGATACTAATGATGAAAGTGATTTGGATGATGATCCAGAAGAATTAAAAATTCTGTTAAAACATAGGGTGCATCCAACTGTTAATAAGCCAAATGGAAATTAGCAAGATTATTTAAACTTGGATCAAAATCCCAAATGGGTTCATATCATTACTTTCAGAAAATACAATTTTAGAAATTTATAAAAATAATTAAAGTTAAAATTAATTTAGTTTTTCATTAACAAATAAAAATAAAATATATTGGTTCCATCAGTTCCAGTGATCCATTGCTGTTTCCAGTGGTTCCAGTTTTTCCAGTGATTCCAGTGGTTCCATTGGTGTTCCAGAGAAAAGTCACTGGAACACTGGAACTGGAACTGGAAAATTTGTTCCAGTGTTCCAGTTCCAGCCATTTTCCCAACACTGCTCTCTCTATAACAGCTTACATTCTATAACGAACTGGGAATTGGGTCCCAATTTTTTACTATATTAATATAAAAAACCCACTCTATAACGGTCTTCTTAATTAAATTTCCTATAGTGTATAACGGCCTGTCCCTGAAATTCACTTGTATGTTTTATATATGTAACTGTCTATAACGGCCGACGACCATGATCTGAAATTATAATCGCTAAATTAGGAAATTTTCTGTAAATCAAATTATTAATAATTATGATCGCATTACTGTCAAACCTCGATAAGCCGAACTTTTGGGAATCACAAAAATAGGATCGGCTTATCAAAATTCGATTTACGATACAAACAG